AACGAAAAATTTTTACTAATAAAATACATCGATTCGCGAGATAATCGATCATATCAAAATAAAAATAGAAACAACCTTGTATATATATATATATATATATATAAAATCTGCTCTTAAAAGGAAATGCGTCAGTTTTGGAAACTGACTGTATAAAGGCTATATTAAAAAATAAATCTATCTATATACAGGGAGCATGCTAAACGCATGTAACATACGTAGATGAAAGCGTAACCATTGCCACTTGTAATCAACAACTCCACGCGTGCCTAGCGACGGCAACGCGTGCTTTACTGGGGGGCGGTCCTATCTCACCGCGCGCTTGTAATTTCACAATTTTTATAAATTAATAATTCGTTAACTATTGCAAAAATCGCAAAATAGTACAGGACTTTTCGCTTCAGTTTAGTCTGCTCTATCTGCATATGACTGCTTGATTTGGCACACCCTGTATATATAAAAAGGCATATCAAAAAGAAGGTATACTCGCATATAAATACTCGCATTTCTCAAAGTGATATTGCCGCTTCTTCGCGACGCTGATCGGTCCTCTTATTGCGCTTACTTTGTGAGCGACTATCATTGAAGATCGTTGTGACAATTGTGTCGTGAAAAAGGATTAATGGTGTAACAGTATTATATAATTTTTGCTCCTTCTTTTTGAAAAGATAAACAGCATCTGTAGTATCTAATCTAATAAAAAAAATTGAAGATATTGAGTATATGTCATTATTTAACAAATTATATCTTGAAACAAAGTGAAAATTGCAAAAGTGAAAAAATTTACTAGATTTCGACAATAACTTATTAAATTTTGTAGATATTCAAATTCATCTTATTTCATCCTAAATAATTAATAAGTTTGTTCGCGTTGCTCGCACTCTATATTTTATTTTTTACACATACTAAATTAAGATGAACATAAATGAACATACACACATTAGAGAAAGACAGAACGAGCATCATTTTAACGTTGTATTGCTAGAACATTTTGAAGTGATCGCATTTAAAACGTTTCAAAACATTTGCAATAGAATTTTGATTGTTTTCAAATGTTTTGTATTAAAAGAAAGGAATTGGCGCTCTATAAATTAAATTATAATTTTTCGCAAAGATATTATGTAGGACATTTTTTTAGAATATCAAAAATTAAAATGATATAAAAGATTAATATTATTAAATTGCATAATTATCAATTTATTAAAAGAAATATTATATATAAGTTCTCTTTGACTTTGATTAATTATATTGCAAGTCTATCCAAAAAGATTGACATAGTAGTTAAAACAAATGCTATCCCATTTACATAAGACAGACTATATAAGTTTAATTATAAATTATAATTATAAATTACTTTTTCAGAATCTATTAAAGATATAAAATTCTGAATCTTTTAGAGTTTATTGAAACCATTTATATAACATATGATGGGATACTAGATGGGATGTTAGATTTGTGGTAGAATGAAATAGCTTGTTATTTTTTAATAGAATTTTACATTTTTGAATATCTTACTTGATGCAGTAATAATTAGTCAGATTTGTCAGATTTGTAGTAGAATGAAATAGTTTGCTACTTTTTAACAGAACTTTACATTTTTGAATATCTTACTTAATGCAGTAATAATTAGTTTATAATCTTTATAAAAAAAACTATTATAATGTTATACTTAGAAATTATTTTATTCTTTATTTTAATATATTTTTTCTTTCTTTTCTTTATTTCTTTATTTTCTTTATTTTCATATATAAAATATTTCCTTTTAAAAATTTTCCTGTAAAAATTTCCTTTTTTAATATTTATTTCATTACATTGTCATTATTGGATTTTAACTAATATAAGTTTAAAATGTAATTGTTAGATATTAAGACTCTTGATCAAAAATATTTGTACAATTTTTATTAATTTCTTTTTATTTTGAACAAAAAGATTACAATGCAAAAGGCCCTAAATATGTCCAGTAAATTAAAAATGCAAATATAAGTGAAGTTTAACATATGAGTTAAATTTAGATAAATAATGACATCTTGTGTGTTAATATTAATTCTTATCACAAATTATTAGCAATCTTCTTTAGATTTTACCTACTCATTTTTTTGTTTATCACTTCTTTTATCTTACTACATTTATTTCACAAAAATAATCTTATCTTTGTCCTTAATGTAAAATTCATTAATAATATTTATTAACAAACAAAAAAATAATATCACTACAATTCTGTAGATACATGTAATTTTTTAGTTGAATCTTTAATGGCTTCTTCGTTTAAACCTTGCATTTGAAGAAAATCATTGTGCGCTAAAATAGCCACGTTTCTGCCAGCTATCGCACTCATCTCCATGGCACTCGCAGCCCACTCTATAGCATTGACATAATACAATGCATCATGCAACTTAAAATTATTAAAATTCAAATTTGTTGAATAACGAGGATATGCCTTCCAAGCAATTTCCTTCTTCTCAATGACCTAGACAAAAATTATTATATATCAAAATAAGTTCTTTTTATATTTTGCCTAAAATAATTGCAGCAATTCACATTCATACATTAGAAAACATGTCGTGTATAAGACTTGATTCCACAGGTTTTCTACTGAAGATCTTCCAAACTCGTGGATTTTTCTTAACCAAACCGTCAACAGACTCCAATGCCCCAACCGTACTGATTTTCGTTTTGTTGGGATTGCAACTTAAAATACCATCCAAGATCTCTTGCAAGCCAAAATACTTTGGATTGAGATTAGCTTTGACAAACGTCACATGTGTTATTTGATAACTTCCTGGAAACATTAAATTATCCGGAAATCCGATAAATTCTATCTGAGATGCTTGGTCCTTTGTAAGCGGTGCGGCGATAATTACGATATCATAATTCGATGTTATTGAATCTGTGCCATCTGTAATACATAGCTCATACATTTAACACACAACTCAAATGTTTATCAGTTAAAATTTACATTTGCTTATCCTACCTTTATTTGTGTAAGTCACTTCGTATCGGCTCGAATTATTGATGTTTGCTAAATTGCGAATCTTTGTAACACGATTCCGCATTACATTTACATTCTTAGTTCTGTAAACAAGATGTTCTGGTACCTAAAATTCAATCTTTTATTTTAAGCATATTTCATCAATGATGAAAATATATGTAATAAGTTAATGATACATTACTCTTTTATTTCCACCTTTGACAGTCCATAAGTCACCACTCGCAGCCCAGGATATGAAACCAACGAAACTATGTACATCAACTTCCTGACCATAATTTGTTATAATAGTAGCTTGTTCTAACTCATTGATTAAGTTTTCTGTAAATCCCATATGTAAAAGCTTATCTCTTATAGATATCTGTAATAAATTCGGGAAATCCTTATTCATAGCTGATAGCAGGTCAGTGACATTGGCAAAAGATTGCCCAGCATCTTGCAGATCATATATCTTCACAAAATCTTCGATCATGTTTTCTACATGTCTGTTCAAAATAAAATCTTATTTTTCCTTTTCTGATATTTTATTATGTAATTTTTAAATACCTCTTGAGTTTATATGGCTGAAAACCATATCTATAAAACAGCTTCAGCAGCGAAATTATAGACCAATTACTCTCTGTGAAAACAAACTCATCTCCATTCCATATACCGTATTTCTGATCATCAAGAAAACTGTGTTCTAAACCTAAGAATCAAAAAATCTTCATTAATATTATGTATTCATTCATATACAAAAGTAATAATTGAACTATAAAAACAAAAAATGGCTTACCTAAAAGTTTAACGAATCTTTGCATATACATATTCTTAGGATGTATAATCGAACCACCAGCCTCAAATTCATCTCCATCAATTTTGATGGTTGCCAATCGTCCTCCCACAGTCTTTGCCTCATACAAATCAATCTCCAAATTTCCATTCAATAACTCGGAAAGAAAATGTAAAGTAGACGCACCACCAATGCCACCTCCTATAATGGCTGAAAGAAACAAAAAAAAAAAGAAAGGATTAGCTTAAATATTTTATTGATTAATATAAACACAAACTCGTAATCCATTCTGCTTGATGTTACAAATGCTTTGAAGCATTCTTCTTTTTCTAATTCTGCTTTTATTGGCTCAGAGTAGACCAAAGGTTATATCAGCAAACTTGATAAAAATATAAAGCAAAAATGGCAAATAAATGACACAAAATCAGCAATAAGCGGCGGAAAATCGCAAATAGAAGCAGAACAAAAATTATGAAAGAACGAATCATGTCATCCACTTCAACAATTCAAATGAGACATACTTTGAAATAATCGAGTTACCTATCAGAACAAAAATTCCTGCCGATTGATCAGAAAACTGCCTCGAAATATTCATAGCATCAGAGATGAAATGAAACATCGACTCTTACCGACATGTGGCGCAGGTTTTTCGACGGAGATTCCTAACTGAAGTGTCAATGCTTCGAGCACCAGTAATGCAGCGTACCGGCTCATGATTTGCACACGTTCGCTCAACTAGGCCTTAATAAGTTTGATGAAGTTCACAAGGCACATATTTATTATATCCGGCGTATTATGTAACTATCGGCACTTTCGCCTTCCTATAAAACACATCACTTTCGAGAGATATTTCATTATTGCTATACATACGTGCATGTATAAACACGCGCAACGCGCAGCGTTGATAAACCTGTCAATTTTTGCACATGCGTATCGGAACATCAGAAGAGATCTCAGTGAAGTATCACGATCGTAAAAAGAAGAGTACTATTGAAATTCGTATTCCAATTATCTCTTAATATAATTAGGAATAATTATATTTTTAACTTGTATTAAAATTGTTTCTAATTTCGTCTTTTTGAATTCATATTGTAAAAAGTGTAACATATCTACTATATTACTTAATTATTACACTAAATTAACAAAGCTAATAAGTACTTGTTAATATAATTTATAGCTGCTTATTTTATCTGCTTATATCTGAACTAGCTTCGCCATTTAAAAAGTAAAACTTTTTAATTATCTTTTGCTACTGATTTAAATTCACATTATAATACAAATTCATATTATAATACTGAAAGATATCTATTAGATTCGGAAAAAATTAACGGAGATCGACTGGATTTGAACTCGGGATCCCTCGTCTACCAATCCGACACTTAGTCTGCACGATCACGACGGCTCCTCTCTGCTAATGTTTATATTTCGAATTTCTTTCATGACCGCTTACACGGTCGTCTAATTCTTACAATACAAAGAAATTAATATATCTTTTACAAACAGGATGTTTCATTTTAATCAATGCACTTGAATATTTCGAAAATTAAATAAGATATTAAGGTTTTTCAAGGTATAAAATGTATAAATTACTCATAATATTTAATTATTAAATTAAATTATACATGAATATAAAAAGGTAATACGTTTTAATTTAATTACTTAGTATTTACTTCACTCGAATTAATCTCTTTAGTTTATCCTCCTGAAATTTGGGCTTTCATATCTACATCTCGTGGATAAAAATTTTTTATGCAAAAACATATAATATATACGCAAACATATATAAATATATACAATTATATACGAAATATATCCATACATATTTATATTAAGTTTTTTCTTTTTAAATTAAAATTTTTTAGTTTAAAGTAAAAAAAAATAAATAAATTAAATAACAAACAAAAAATTAAAATTTAAAAAGGTAAATTTATTTCTTTTGTAATTTATTTTTTGTTCTTCTTATTATTATTTTTTTATACCAAACAAAAATTTTACAAAATAAAGAAATTAATGTAAGCATAGACATATTTCGTATGTAATTCTATATATTTATATATATATATATATATACCTATACCTATTTCACAAGCCAAATACTTTGTAATATATACATATATATTTTTAAAAGGCGTAACAACTTTTTGTTAAAGAAACTTTTTTCTTCAAGAAATGAATAAAAGCTATAACAATTATCGAAAGGAATAAAAAAATATTACATATTTGTTATTCAAATATATATAAAATTTGTGTGTCGGTATATATAGCATATATAAGACTTTCATGCGCATGCCCCTTACTTCATACGCACGCGCATGTGTTTTTGTACATGCTTTTCGGGGCCATGTATTTGAGGCAAGTTAGCAGTCTAGTATATAAATATAAATGCTATGGGCTCAATGATGTACACAAATGCATATGACATATATATGTATGTGTTGTGTGTGGTGTGGCGCGTGATGTACTAGCGATCACGTGATGCAGCGAGCCACCCAGGTATCCAGGGACGCGCGTAACAGATTCAGTATGGCTGTGCATGGCCCAGATGAACAATTGGGAGTAGTCTCAGGACAAAAAAAATAAGTCCTCGGAACGTGGCCGTATCGCGAATTCACAACGCGTTCGTCCACTTCCTTTTTAAAATGACGAAACAATCAGCAAGATAAATCTGACGAGGATATTCAGATTCCTCAACGAAATCAGTCATCTATTCGCGCATTTCGCGATGCCACCCATAATTTTTCGCGATAGACCACGATAACGGTTCGCGCCGGGAAGATGTGTCACGATTGCACGACGTAACTCATAAACGCGACCACTGAGAACACGACATGTAAGGTGGTCCCCGATCCGCAAAATCACCTCGTGCGCGCTTCAACGATCGGAGAAATAAATGCTCGGCGAGAGAGTAGAGATTACGAGCCAAACGTTGAGCCTTACGGTAAATTCATTGTACCCCTTTGTGCACGGACATTTATTCTATCTCCACTACATTTATTTCAATTACAATTACAATTTTATTCATATTATACACATTATACAATGCATCTCTTGCCCCTTTTTGAATCTCGCATATAGTCCTGTACACTTTGTCAATCACAAGAAGTTAAAGTTAGGAAGTAGACAAAGATAACACAGAATGTCATTCGTATGTTATTTCACTCTGTCCATCTGTGAGAGCAGTGCTGATTTGTACACACATAATACAGTCTCATTTCTTCCTCAGCCCGTCTGGTTTGCGCCTGGAAAAACACAGCTTCTCTGTGATTGCACTTTGGGCATGGATGTTCCTCGGTTCTTGGCAACGTAGGGTCCGATATCACATCGGCGACAATGTGTGTGAGCTCGCTGAAAGAAAAAAGTGTCAAGCGTGATTGGGTGATCAAATGACAAATACATAATTGCAACATAACTAGCGCACACTCTAGTGCAGGATTGCTCCTACAACAATTGAACTTTGGCGACAAATGCGAAGATTCGCCATCCTGAGAACGGCATCATTTTGTATAACAGGGATACTTATGCACAAAATGATACACTTCTCCTATTCTCAGCACGTGTTTCAAATTTTAGGGAATCGTTTTAATATTTAATGATGTTTACATGAATGTTAATTAACTCGCCAATTCACTTGTTCTGAACTCACTCTATCTCGTGCATGATCTTGTTCACGTAGATGCAGTTGCTGTCAGCCAGTTGCTTGAAATCGCAATTTCTGCACTGAAATAGAGGCATTACGCATTTATATTATCGCAATTCAAAACAATCCTCTTCCACTTTCCTTTTTACAATAATGAGGTCCACCTCGTTGGGAACGTCGCCATGACGTATACTCACCGCATACATGAGTACTTTGGTTTCTTTATCCTCCTTCGGATACAACATATTATTGCACTCCTGACAAAATCTGATGCCTACGAATCCTGGACCATCATCATGCGTGTCGTAACCCGTTATCTTTGACATGATCGCGCATCAAATTGATTTAAAAACTTAAATTAGCGGGTCGAAGATCTCTCGTAGATCACTGCTAATTCGAACGTTGTCAATCGACGCAAAAGTGACAATGACAACAGTGACGGACGAATCGCAGCGCATGGTGTCGATGTCGGTTGGTGCGCCATCTGTTGGTGCTCTTGGAAAATTAAACTACATTCATACGACGCGAAAATTTGTGTTTCCATGCGGATGCGCCAGGACATGAAAAGAAATCTTCCAGATTGAAATTATAATCTTAAAATCGATAATTTTACAATTTGCAAGATTTGACCGATTAGTTTCTTTAAAAGCTAAAAAGCCATTTTAATAAAAAAAAACAAGCTTCGCAAGATTGAAATTTATGAGAATGAGAATAAAGTCTCCCGAAATATACATTGGATAAATTTAAGCATTATAATTAAGCACTATAATTTTAAATTCTTTCAATTACAATCGATGTAAATTTTTTTATTTAATAATTCGTAATGTGATTAGTTGGATTTGATTGTGGACTGACGAGCGAATTCTAACGAGAACGTTCGTACATATGCATATCTACATACATAAATACATTCATATACATATGTACACTCATACATACAGACACGTGTCATATACATGAAATTTTCAGGCAAAATTTTCTCTTACATACAGCTCCTAGCTGCATTTTTAAAAGCAAAGTATTGTTTTTCTTTGTAATTCCGTCACAGGTAAGTATGTGTTGTTTATATTTCAAAATCTAACTTTTATGCACAGCGAAACAAGTTATCACAAGTTAATCTCAGAAGTCGATAACAAAACTATAATTTTCTAATTTTTTTCTTCTTTCATATGAAATATAAACACCCGGGTGCGTTAATGGTTATACTTCAATTCTGGAAAAGGATTTTTAATTCTGTGTCTGTATTACCGACAAAACGCAGTAATTTTTGTATTGTTTTCATTTTTTATTAACTTATAGATCTGGAAATCTTTTTCCACAATTAAAGTTTATGCACTAATACGTGTCTAGCATATGAATTTCGTATCAAAAACGAGAAAAATTTTTTAAATTTAGATCTTTTTTATCATTTGGACCATTTAAAATGGTATCCAAAACTGTCAACTCGCGTCAATATTTGCTTTATATAAACATTTTACAGCCTGTACCTACAAAACTAATATTGCTAAACTAAAAGATTACATGAAGAAACAAAGTTGAATTCTTAGAATTGAGCTAGATACCTAATGTAATGCAAAAAAACAATACGAAAATTTGTTCATATGTATATGTACAGAAATGTATGTATAAGTGTATGTATGTATACATAAATGTATGTTAGATGTGCATATGTGTGAACGTTTTCGTCGGAGTTCGCTCGTTAATCCAGGATCTCTTAAACTTTTTCAAATGTAACGGTTTTAAGAACACTCCATATCAATACATATTTTTTATCAGCGCATTCCGTTTTATGTTACTATTCACATATTAACAGTTGGAAATTCAAAATCGAATAAAGGAGTAATACTGTCGACGAGATAGCTCCGTTCCGATAATTCATTGTCAGTATTCTAAATCTTATACACATACATTTTCTTTTTCTTCTTTATTTTTATTCCCTATATTAATCTCAAGAAATGAGTCCAATTGAATATAATTTACACAAATACAAAAACAAAAATAGGCGAAACCAAGACGGAATCGGAAAACAAAGACAAAAGTGTACGATGCGAAAATTATCTAAGGACGAAACACGTCTGTCCCACGCAACGATATGGAAACGAGTCATTTTCAGTACTATTAATGAATATTGGGATCACAATATAATAGACATATAATATTGGACGGAATAAAATTTTAAAATTTTTCATCTTGTTGGATTTAGAAAAAGAGAAGTATGTATAAACACATCTCTCTTTTTGTTTATCTATTGGTGAATTTTATCTGGCGAGAAGGGAAACAGCATATTTATAAAAATATTTATAAATATTTTTATATTTATAAAAATTTGAAATATTCTTAATGCGATGCCATTTTTGACTATATAACGCTGTGTATAAATATTGCAAAGCAGAAATTATTATATATTATTGTTATATTGTTATATTATTAATAAATAATTATGATTTCTGCTTATTTTTATGCAAAACAAATAAATTGGAAGCAAATATCAAATGCTTTATGGCTCTGATTTATATGAATCGCTCTTATCTACATATTGTCTTGTTTTTTTCTATATTTCTCAAGATAATTAGATGCTCCGTCCAATATTATATTTCGATGATATAGTCAGTAAGAGTCTATCCAGACAATTGCATGGCTACATAACCAAATGCACAAAAAAATTATCCAAAAATATTATTGGATTTCTATTGTAAGGATACGTGTAAAATGCGAACAAAAATGAAATAGTTCTGAGAACGTTCCGAGCATTAAGTGGAACGCAATCATAATACTTATCATTATTAGTGATAATACCCTAAACTTATAATATATTTTTATCTCACTTTGAATGTTCTACATTTTAAAACATTTAAATAATCTATCAGACAAAGAATTCTATCGATTGACCAATAGGGAATATTTCGAAGCATCAATTTGTAGCATAAAATGGACTTTTTCTATTCTCATTTGTGTGTTTTCTACTCTCAAATTTGTGTAATATAAGTATATATGTTCTTATCACATTAAAATTTATTGAATCCAACTAAAAAAATATGATCTGCGTGATAAACTATTCCGATATGACAATAAAATATTATATTTATAATTCTCGTTACATATATTATAAATTTTCAGTAATGGCAGTGTATATCGAAACACGGCATAAATCTGCGTAATCGCGTTTCTTCGTGGAGTTTCCATACTGATTGCATCATGTTCCCAGACAATATAAAGTCTAAAATCAAGATATATAAATCTTAAAACGTCTTTAGACATCTTTTGCAAAGATATTTTTAGGTTTTATATTAAAAGGTTATATTACGATTTTGAACTTTGTATTTTATATTGTCTGAATTGTGTATTTGATTTAGACACAATGAAAATAATCAGAAATGAAAAAATAAAAATTGAAAATTAAGAATTGGAAATAGAGAATTAAATTTCGATATTTAGAAATTCATACTTCAATAGAAAAAGATCAAGGAATGATAAGATATCCATTTATTAGTCGAAAATAATTTTGTTTCTAATACTTTTTATTTATTTTTTATTTCTTATTTTCATCGTATCTGAACTCTTTATATCCCCTTGCTGGAAAATATCTATCGTAACATATCAGTTGCATTTCTTAAAAATGCATTTTTGAAATGCATTCATAAATAAAAACAAAATAAAACAAAGTCCAAAATTGGAACATAAGACGTCTTTAAGACATCTTATGTCCCGCTTTTGGATTTCATGTTACATCATATTTTTAATAGCCAAACTTTTTACATTTTTCATTGCATTTCTTTTTCTTTTTCCAACATTTAACCACACTTATTTTATTTTGAGTACAAATAATACAATAATGTACATTGGTAGAGAACGTCTCAAAGTCAAGTGAGCCAATCAGGAAAATAGATTTTACCATTTACTATCTCCCCCCCTCCCTTACAGCAAAATTCAAAATTTTCGTTACACGACTTAAGGGAAAAAAAAATTTACGATACAATCTTGGTTTGTCTTCAATTTACATACGTTTTTCTCACGTATTACTCCAATTATTTTTCGACCGTGGATATATCGTAACTATACACGTCTACCATGTATTTTTTCAGTTTTGTTGTTCTCGATCTCTTCCACCAAACGAAACGAGCGCGCACTCTTTCCGAAAATCTCGAAGACAATAGCGAAAGCGAAAAGAGAAAAGAAAGACGGGACGGGGGAACAAACATGGAGAATACAATCTAGGAAGAACGGAGCTCCGCGTACGCGCGTGATATACGTTACACACACACACACACACACACACACACACACACACACACACACACACACACACACACACACACACATATATATATATATATATATATATATATATATATATATATATATATATATATCACGTATACATAATACATATTCTTCGGGCGGTTTCCATGAAATCGGCGCTCCGACGTCCCGCTGGCTCGCCTCGCGCCGGGAGTTTCGCGCGTAAAGACGAGGTCGGTGCTCAGGATCGTGTCGTGAGCGTGGTGAGATTCAGCCGTCGACGCGGTTATCCATCGCGGTCGGAAATACGGTCGGTCGATCGATCGGGCCGCATCGCCGATGCCCCGCGACCGTCGCAGAAAAAGTCCAGCAAGAAACCCATCTAAGGAGGATCGTCGCGGGTCCGTGGGCGAAGATCGGCGCGAGTTTCGCTGCGCGACGACGGATGCGCGCCGCTAGAGGCCCGTCGCGACACGCTAGCTTAATTCTGGCGGATAGAGTGCGTCGCCCGGGAACGCCGTCGTCGTCGGCATCGGGACATCGGTAACGCGAGGGTATACGACCCGGCTAGACCGAGTAAGTATCGATCAAGAAGGAAAGACGGGTCCCGCTCGGTCCTCTACCCGCTCTAGCTGTTCTTTCTCGCTTTCTTTCTCTCTCACTCACTTCTCCCCTCCCGCAATCTATAGCGTCATGCATATAGCAGGCCTCACGCCAATGTCCCCTGCGCTAGGGTCTACCCTATATTACGTATATAAAAAGAGAGAGTGGGGAGGGGGAAGGGAGGGGGGGAG